ACAGGACGCGTTTGTAGATGTTCGACGTTGTTTCCATAGTGAGCTAAGTTAACAATATATCATCATACATAAACATTTTCCGGGAGTAAATACTTGACTTATTGAATAAAGTTTGCTATATTCACTAACTAGTTTGGCAATATTATTCCGTTCATGTGTTAAAAACCTTATTTCCATTTGATTCATTGGATTACTCGCGTGAATGTTTAGCACGTAAATGCTTTCGTTTTTAAAACCGTCCGACCTTGACTTCAAAACCATCAACCAGTTGCATAGGATTAAAAAAATTCAACACTCACTCACCCCGTCTTAAACATTCCCAAAGAAGTGCCTCTGTCTCTCGTTGTGCTGGATGAAGTCACTGGCGACGAGTAAACCCAAAATAGTCCCAAGCAGGCGCAGAGGCATTTTTCTTTTTTTACTAGTTGTCCGAGTTCGGGGCCGGCAAATGCTGCCGCCATCTTGCTCAGCTCAGCTCTGTGCTGAGCTCTGAGAGCGGGAAAGACGGACTGCCCTCCCCTGCCCTCTGCTGGCGCGTGCTGTGCATTACAACCAATGTCGTCCCTGTCAAAACTCCGTGTCAGTGTAATACAATGAAACGGATCTGTGATTTGGCGCACAGTCTGTGACGTCACGGTATTGAAAATCATACCGACGGGATTTCGAAATACCCTGGTATACCGTAATACCGTCATACCGCCCAAGCCTAGCGCCGACACATCCTCATCACTCCACCGCTCCGATGATTTCTTTAGTGTTGCCATAATAACTGCTTTCACAAAAGTACTCTCTCCGTTGGTGCGCTGGGATAATAATATGCGAGCAAATAAAATGGTGGCTTCACAAAACTTTTTCAGAGTTTTACGGGCCGTGGTTTGCAATCTGCCTGTTCTGTACCTTAACTTGGTGTGTAAAGAGGTAGCTGTGGCTCCTGGTTTTGTTAGGAGGGAGCTGTGGCCCTCTGACTAATTAGAGAGCAGAACTGCTCTTAGGCAAAGCTAGCATTTGGTAGAAAAACCGATTGGAAAACAGCAGTTTTGTTTTTGCAAGTTCTAATGTGCTGTCGTTTTCCCACTGGTTCTTGGGAGTCTATGGGAGAATATATTTTCTGAAGCCCAAAGGTTGTAACATATTGTTCTGTAAAATTACTTTTCTATGAGATTTAATTTCCGTTTAGTTTTTTTAATGTCTTGATGATCTTATAACTTCTTTAACATTCATATAACATCCCCGCAGCATGAACATTCCGACCCTCAAATCTATTACTCATGTGTTGACTTTACATTTTTATTTTTCCACTTTCTTCAGATCCGATACATCTCTCAGACTCAGGGCCTGCCTGCCGAGCATCTGCTCAACAAGGGGACAAAGACCTCTCGCTTCTTCTCCAAAGAGTCCAACTCTCCCTACGCCTCCTGGAGACTCAAAGTACTTGCACACAACAAGCACAAACAGACAGAACATGCAGGTTATGTGAGAATGGACATCATTAGAAATTCACGGGAAAGTCCATGCAGCAAGGGACATAAAATATAAAGTGGCAGTACATTTGCAACAGGAAATGGATCCATAAGCTTTTCAAAACAAGACAGAGCCAGCAGGCCCTGAGAAAAGCTCCAGGAAATGTGGAATCGTGTTTAGACTACCTGCTGAGCTCACTCTAAATACATGTATAATACTTTTGAGGCTAATGTTTATCTTTCCAAGTACTTCCCAGCAAAAACCCAACTGCCTGACACTCTGACCACACACATTTACACGTTTAATTTCGATTTTTATGTTTCTCTATAATACATGAACTCTCTCCAGTTCTAGATGTGTTAGTATTATATATTTTAAATGTTTTCTGTTAAGTGTCTCAGCCCCTAATCAAAGCTTATCATCTTATTTTATATATCTCCATTGTATGTTATGATTGTACTTGTAATTTTAAACTGTTTCTGAATAAAATCATTTGAATTCCTCCTCCAGACAACAGAAGAGCATGAGAAAGAGACAGGACTTAAATCCAAAGAGGCCAGAAAGTACATCTTCAGCTGTCTGGAAGACATCGCACACGTGAGTCCAAATTCAAATCACCCTACACAAAACATAAGGCAGGGTACACTTTTCAGTTTTTGAAGCATACATGCAAGTAAAAAGCTAACATTAGGCTATGATAGTTCGTATGGCTGCACATTACCATCGAAAGCTAAGATCATTTAGTCAGTTGTTAACACACACCATTTTATAACGCATAGCTTTCGACATTCATGAGTAGCCGACCTATTTTGGGTTGACTACTGTGTTTAAAAACTATTGACTTCTAGACTACGAAACTGGAATTGATAAAACTCATTCCTGCACAACTCCAATAACTGTGACACCTGTTGCCCTGCATGTTTCTCACATGAAGTGTGTTTCTCTCCCTGTGCTTCCTCCCCTCAGGTGAACTTGGTGCTGAGTCCTGACACCGGGGACATGCAGGCAGAGAAGGCTGACAGGAGGGAGTTTGTGTCCCTGCTGAAGAGCATGCTGCTGATCAACGCTGAGGACAGGACTGTTCCCGCCAGCGTCCTCAATCACCCCTTCCTCACCATGACTCACCTGCTGGACTACCCACACAGCAACCAGTAAGGCTGCAATTTGACATCGACACAACATGTGTTGTCTTTCCTACACACTCTTGTCTGCTTTGTATTTTTTTTCCCTGCAATGTTGGCTGAAGTTTTATTTCCATTTATGTAATTTGCCTCCTCTCGTTCTCTCCAGCGTGCAGTCATCTTTCCGCATCATGGACATGTGCCACGCTCGGCCCAACAACTCAGTTTTTGATGTTCTGAATCAAAACACCATTCATTTTTCAAGACCCCCTGTTGCCACAGCAGCCTCCTCTGGCCTCCCTCTAGGCTACAGCAACATACCAGTGCACACTCAGGTGAGATACTGCAGATGGACACAAATACTGTGTGTGTGTTATTTACTAGGACTTTTTCTCTCTAGTTAGACTTGGACATGTTTTACTTCCTGTATTGAATTTTGCCTAGATCTTGCCCATTCACCGATGACCTAATATCACCCTCTTTAAGGTCAAACGTGTGACAACATATCATCTTAGAAATGTTCTTAGTTGTTCTGCTACTCAAGAATGATAGCTTACCTTCTTTCCCTGTATACATCTTTGTTCATATTTTCCCTTTCTACGTTATATTTGACTCACCATCTACCGATCTTTTCTAATGCAGCCTATGAACCAGTCGGCTCCCTCAGTGTTGCATCCTGGGATAGCTCTAACGACTGGGAATGGTCAGTTTGCATGCACAGACTCCTTTCCACCTGCCCTCCTTCTTTGTCCTCCCCCCATGCAAGGTATGCACACTGCACACTCATTACAATGATAATAATGATCATTTTATGTTTGTTATCTTAAAGATTGCATTTAAAGTGTTCTTAATTGTTACGCACAGCCTTTTTTGTTTGTTTTATGCTTCTTCTTGTTTATTTTATTTTTACAAGGTAACCTCAACCAACCGGCAGGGTACTCTGTTCCCATGGTTACCCAGGCCCCTCCCATACAGCCCTTACCAGTGAGACCTGGTGTAATTGCTCAGGTAAGACATCGACCTAAACATGGATTTAACATCTGACCCCTGACATCAGGCCTTGCTGTGGGGGAGTTCAAACAGATCATGGGATCAACAGATGGTATGTAAGGTCTCTGATTCTCCTCTTCTCCCTGCAGCAGGCTTGGTCTAGCCGGGGTCAGCAGCTGCTCATCCCAGCAGCCTGGCAGCAGATGACTACAGTGGGACCTCCGCCCTCTCACCCCCCTCCACCTCCTCCCCATTCCTCCCTAACCAACGACACCGCAGCCGGCCCACAGAGAATCAGCGACTGGGGGTGAGTCATCCCGTTCTGAGTCAGACAAACTTGTAATATGGGAAATTCCAGGTTGTAAAACTTCCACGCATCAACATTTTGGGTTGAATTCAGTTTGTATGCATGCTCTAAAAAAACAAGTTACAATTGGCTTTCTGAGACAAACTACTATTGACTAAACACGGTGTGTGCCAGTTCTTTTCAATGTCTAAAAAAATACAAGAAATTACCGTTGGTAAACGTTCCACATGACACTTCATGTTACCATAGTAAGACACTGTTATGGTGCGCTCACACCGGTTGAGAAGCAAAGATTCCGCCCGTTATTGTGCAAGTTTTACACTCAAAATAACGTCATATAGACATTAATAAAATAGCAACTTTATTTGCAATGTCATCATAGACAATCTGTGGTTTGTACACATACATTTTTGAACAAACACACTTTATGTTCATACATGGGGAACTGTGAGCTCTGTGTGCTGTTGCCACGTCGGGGATGACAGCGTCACTCTTGCTGCTGATTGGCTCTGCGAGACAGTGTCACGCGAGTTGGGCGATCATCATCATACTGACTTTATTGCTAATCACAGTGGGGGGGGGAACTCTCTTTGCGTCGGTGTAAACAAACCATCACTGTTGCAGTGTGAAGGCAAAACAACACTGAAAAAGCACAAACAACATTCTTTCAATATGCTTAATAGGGGTGTTGAAATTAATCGTTTCTACGATGCATCGCGATGCGGACGTGGACGATTCTGCATCGATGCAGTGACAGAACATAATCAATCATAGTGTAATAATGTTGCTTCTTGATTTTCCGGCCGCGGCTGGACAATAAAGTTTTTTTTTCTGTCACATGAAAATGAAATCGGTCAGTGACGCAGGGATCAAGGAACAGAAGTGACAGCGGCACAGCGACAAGCAGTCTGCTTTCTCCAGCAACACCAGTCGAGAACCAACAGCAGAATGACCCGCTCTGAATCAGTCCGTGTCGCTGCGGCTCAGAGACACACATGGATTTTTTGAATCAAGTCTTGGATTGCAGAGTATGTATTAGGGATCGACCGACATGGCTTTTTCAAGGCCGATACCAATTATTAGTAATCAAGGAGACCGATAACCGATATTTGGAACCGATATACATTTGCAGTAAAATCAGAAAATCTTGATGTCAAAATGTAGAATAACACAAACTCCAACACAGCTTCTTTGAAATGCATTTAAGCATATATTATGTTTAATGAACTTTTAAACATCTTACAACTGGTTTCCTCTCTGTGCCCTTTTCTTTAGTGCAGCTATCCAGGACAATACAGTAGGTACCCATCCTGCTGTGAGTACTCATGTTGTTTTGTAGTGATAGCACTATCACAAGCACATTCAATTCCGAACCACAACTCATGTCAGGCGGGCGCGATTGGTATATCGTGGAGACATGCTCGTTGCAGGACGGGTGTCGCTTTTTTTTTTTCTCTTCACGTTAGTTGTCGCTTCTAAAAGCCCCGCCGCTCGGGTCGTTCTCCGCCTGGAAGAGTCTTAATGTGCGCGTTCCACGCTTCTTGCGTTGTGTCTTGACTTGTTCGTCGGTCGCGCGCGCCCGTCTCGGTATGTAAACAGCTTCCATTCAGTCAACCTTCGGCTTCGGAGGATTGTTTAGGTTAGGGGTATACGACTTACGTTTTGTAACTACCTAGATACTAGTTAAGGTAGTAAAAGGGTCAGTGTCCTACACGCTTCAGTCAGGCTCACCCCACGCACGCGCAGAGCGTCGCTCATTGACCACACGCCTCCCCCCCTCCACAGACGCTCACTCGGGAGCGTTCAAGAAGTCAACTATACACTCGAGGTAATGCGTCGGTTGTACATAGCATCGTTTACAATATCTGGTTTTATAATCTTCACTCGATGATCTGATGGCCATCCCAGTGCATCTATCGGAGTGAAATTATAAAAGTTTTGTAATCTATCGGGATCACAACACGTCAACGTCGTCGAATAACCTAACATGGAATCTGTCTTCCGTAACAACAACTATATATTTATTCGTAATAACAATTCAATTTCGTAAGTCGGACGTCGGGGGAATTGAGAGACAGGAGGATTGAG